TAGCAGCATAACTTCTTTCCCACAGGGCTATCAGAGCTCCCATGACAGTCCTTGACCTTCTGCAGCAAGCACTTCAAGTTCTCCTCAATTTCAGCAAGTAAAGTTGTGTCATCTGCAATGGTATTAGGTGTGTCAAAGACAGTGAAACTGGCTCAGGATAGGGCAGGCTTTGGAACTGTTGTACGTAGGGGGGTTGCTATGAGTCGCAGGTGACTGTACAACAATTGACCATGCATTTGACTGTGTGGTTTATAATAATTAAATACGGACAACAATGAGAAAAAGGGAAATTTCAGGACAATTAAGTGTGCTTGTGCAAAATTTCTACATGGACCAAGAAACAATTATTCAAGCAGAACAAAAGGGATACTACATGGTTTAAAATCTGAACATCTCTATGTCAAAGTTGTATCTTTTCACCATAACAATTTCATTTGTATACTGAGCAAATAATCCAAGAAGAATATGGCATCAGGATTTGAGGAAGATTCATCAACAACTTGTGATGTTCAGATGACATAATATTTCTTTTGAAAGTGAAAAGAACTTGAAACACTTAAAGATGATCAAAGACTTCAGTCTTCAGGATGGATTACATCTCAATATAAAGAAAGCAGAAATACAACTGGACCAAAAAGCAACATCAAGATCAATGAAAGAAAGATTGACGTTGCCAACAATTTAATTTCATTGGTTCCATAATCAACACCCATCAAAGGAGCAGTCAAGAGATCAAAAGATGTATTACATTTGGCAAATGTATTGTCAGAGACCTCCTTAAAGCCTAAAAAACAAAGATATTAGTTTAAGGACTAGGACATGTTTGATCCAAGTCATGATGTTTTCAATATGTCTGTGGATATCGGACAATGAACAAGGAGATTAAGAAAGAGTTGATGCCTTTGAATTGTAGTGTTGGCAAAGAGTACTAAATAAACTATAGACTGTTAAAAGAACAAATAAATCTTGTTTGTTGGCAGAAATGCAGCCAGAGTGCTCCTTAGGAGCAAAAGTTGCAAGGATTCATCTCATATACTTTGAGCATGTTGTCAGGAAGGGCCAATTCTTGGAAAAAGACATTATCCTGTGAAAAACAAAGGGTCAACAAAAGAGAATGAAGTGAGTTGAAACAGTGACTGCAACAATGGCTCTCAGCAAAGTGGAGATTTTGATGATGCTGTGGGACAGTACAAGGTTTAGATCTGTTGTTTTTAGGGTCACTATGAGTCGTGGTTGACTCGATGGCACCTTACAACAACAATCTCAAGGCTTATCTTTAACAACATGGCAGTTTAGTCAAAGCATTTAGGAATCTCTCTCTCTCTCTCCCCCCCCTCCCTTTAAAATAAGGAAGGAGATCACATAGGGTGTTATGAATTAAATTGTTCTTATGTACCAGAGACCCTATGTACAATAGCTCTGAACTCTGCCTTATCCTGAACCAGTCTCACTGTCTCCAACACACCTACCCTCATTGCCTCAGTTACTGTGTCACTCCATCTCATCTGGGATCTTCCTCTCCTGCACTGTCCCTCCACCTTTCTAGCATATGTCCTTCTCTAAGGACTGTCCCTCCTGGCCATATGCCCAAAGATGTGAGACAGAGCTTCAATATCCTTGCCTCCAAGGAGCAGTCTAGTTTCACCCTCTCCAGGACAGACCCATTTGTACATTTCGTGGTCCGTGGTATGTTCAATTCTCTTCTTCATCATCACTATGCAAAGGCATCTATTCTTCTGTCATCTCTAGTCATTGTTCAGCTCTCTGATGCATAGCAAATAATGGTAAAGACCATGGCCTAAATCAGGCACACATTAGTCTCCAGACTGATATCATTGCTATTTAGTATTTTGGAGAGGTCTCTGAGTATATTTCCCCAGTGAGTGTAATTAATCTTCTTATTTCTTCCTTTTGCCCACTACCACAAATTATGCCGTTGAGTTTCCCACATTTGGGGAAATCCCAAAGGTCAGCACATCTGAGTGCAGTGGATAAGCCTTGCCCTAGGAAAACCAACTTCGTAATCATGATACCGCTCCTGCCAGTTAAGTATCATCTTTTGATTTCCTGACTGCTGGTGCCAAGAGTGTTGCGGAGCCAAGCAAGCTAAAATTCTTAACATTTTCAACCTCTTCTCCTTCTAGCTATCATGCTGCTATCAGTTGACCCAGTAGAATTTTAGTCTTCTTGATGCTGAGCTTCAATATGTATTGAAGACTACAGTCCTTGATCTTCCACAGCAAATGCTTCAGGTCACCCTCAGTTTTGGTGAGCAAGGTTGTACCATCTGCATAATACAGGTTGTTGATGAGTCTTCCTCCAACCCTGATGCCACATTGCTCCTCATAAAGTCCAGCCTCCTAAATGATGTTTCTCATATAGATTGAAAATTTAAGAAGACAGGATGCCTCCCTGAGGCACTCCTTTCTTGATTTGGAACCATTTTTCCTTGCTCTGTTTCTAAGGACTGCTTGCTGGTCCAAGGATAGGTTTCATATGAGCACAATCAAGTGTTCTGGGATTCCCATTTTTCTCAAGAATAAAATAAGTCCTCTAAAATAAGTGTTGAAAATTCCAATTTCTAGAAGCCTATCTGTGGATGCAATCCCCTTTGGGAGTAAATATTTTATTAGTTATGTTAATGAGGTATGTCAGTGTTAGATGTCTTAAGACAATCACTTCTGAGATAGAAAAGGAATATATTAGAGATAAAAGTAAGGAAGCACAAATGGAGAAAGATTGATGCCATGTAAAATTACCAAGGAAACAAGGAAGAGATTCTGAAAGAGATAAGGATTTCCCCCAAAGAATCAAGAATATCTTCTTCTGGATTTTGTGCTCTGAACTCTGACTTCTAATCTCTTTAGCTGTTATAAAATTAATCTAGGTCACTAAAGACAGTTACTTTTGCTTTATATTTTAAAGCAACACTAGGACACGAAGACACAGTCCAGGGAGTGCGAAATTTAGAAGGGTCCCCTTAGGATTCAGCCTTTCACCAACTGTGCATAATAAATTAGAACATCCTGGGTGAAATGTGGGTTCAAAGGTAGGAAGTGAATGTTCTGGGCAGATAGAATGGTACCTGAAAAGATCACAAAGTTCTACTAATACATCTTTTGAAGAAAATGGAAGATAGTGTGACTGAAGTGGAGACAGGAATCTGCTTCCAACGGAAGTAGGAAAGATTAGGAAGCACCACTTTCTGTATTGGTGTAACAATGTTTGGTGTTTATTCTAAGAACAGAGGAGCATCTAAGATCGAACCCTTCCCTTCTAAGATCGAACCCTTGGACTTTATTCCTCAAGGGATGGAATGCATCTTGTGAGCAATGAGTCCTAGGTGTCTAACATGGTCTCTGTGAAAAAAACTGGTAGTTATTTTGAAAGAAGAGAGAGAGAGAAAGAAAGAAGGAAAAGAAAGAAAGGAAGGAAAGAAAGAGAGAAAGAAAAAAAGAAAATGCGTTACCATGAAGTCATTTCTGACTCACAGCAGCCCTCTAGGTCAGACTCATAGGATTTCAAGTCTGTAATCTTTAGACTTCTAACAACCACCACCACCTTTGGACTAGATGAGCTCCAGTGGCTTGGTCGGTAGAGAGTCAACCTGCTAACCCAAGGGTAAATACCTCTCTGATGGTTCACGGCTAGAAAGACGGACTATCTCCTCCAGTGCGATTTACAGCCTACAAAAATTCAGTGGAGGGTCAGCTGTGAGTCAATTCTGACTCAATGGCAAGGAGTGAGTGAGTGATCTTTAGACCATCACATTTTTCTCCTCTGGAAAAATTACCCCTCAGCTTTTCCATTAGCAGCAGAATTCTTAACCAGATGGGCTCCTTATTTTGTCAAAAAGTACTAAGAAAATCAAGTTCCCACGCCACTGCTTACTCCTGGGCCTCTCATAGCCGACTCATAGCTCCTTTGATCGCAAGGGAAGAGATTTTTTTTTCTCCCGGAGGCACCAGAAAGCGTGGCGTTTTGGTTAACAGGACAACCTCCTGAAGTACATCATTAGAGATCCCCTGAGACTCTACTGGTTATGTTATATACCCACACATAGATGGCCCTTCAGCGGATTTCCAATCTCAAGGGAGCAGCTAGTGGATTCAAGCTGCATACCTTCGTGTTAAAAGCGCTATTCCTTACTACTAAGCCACCACAGCTCTCGAAACTCTATTGGAGAGTTCCTTACCACTAAGCCACCAGAGTTCCGAAAGTTCTACTAAACAGTTCAACTGTCTATACTTGCATTTTAGTGTGTTGAAAAAGTAGAGTAACCACACAACGAATGGTTCCACCCCTTTCTCCTGTACTCAGAAGCTATTTCTGGCTCAAAGTATTTGAGGCCTCTCAGATTTCCATTCCTCGCACTTCGCAGAACTTCCATTCAGTTCAAGGATAAACAGATCCAAGTGGCTGGGGTCAGGAGGCCCCGGTGGAGGAACTGGAACTTAGCAGTCAAAACTGTTTCCTTGTGGTCCAGTTTAAATATTCTGGAGTAAATAAACACTGTGGCTCTTGTCTCTACAGGGGCTGGACGCAAGGGGACAAGGGGTAGGGTGCGGGGAAGCCCCGCCTCACCCCAAAGCTCCGCCCCTGGACAGAAAACCACGCCCATGGAGCCACGCCCCTATCTGGCCCCGCCCTGAGACCTGGCCGCCGCTCTGCTCCGCGGCGCATTGTGGGATCTGTTCGCCCGCTCGGCGCTGAAGGACGCAGCCCTTGATTATGGGGTTCCCACAGGTGAGTTCCTAGATCATTGTGGTGCACCAGCACACCTCACCCCATCTGGTACTGGACACTCACCTTGGTACCTGCTGCTCTCCCTGTCAATCCCGCCCCCCACAGGGTTCTGGGCCCGCCCCAAATGCTGGAGTCCGGGTACCGCGCATCCCGGGTGGGGACTGCCCAGATCACCCCTCTGCTCTCTGCATGCTCCCGCACAATGTCACCACCCCTGGGGCAGCTAGTCGTGCTGGACGATCGTCACTCACGCCATGGGCTTTTCCCCAATTTGGTGGTCACCCTACCTCCTCTACCCTCAGAGCCCAGTCCTGCTGGCCTCCCTGGGGGTGGGGCTGCTGACTCTGCTCGGCTTGGCTCTGGGCTCCTACCTGTTTCGGAGATCTTGCCGGCCACAGGTCACTCTCCTGGATCCCAATGAGAAGTACCTGCTGCGACTCTTAGACAAGACAGTGAGTTAATTCGGAAAGGGCCTGGGGAGGGGAGGGGCCAGAGTTCGCCTTGTATGAAGCATGCATCACCAAGGACAGCATCTGAAGTGGTTGGGATGCCCTAAGCATTTCACAGTGTCCAACCAACTTATTGAAACACTTGTCTATCCTCCAGACTGTGAGCCACAACACTCGTAGGTTCCGTTTTGCCCTGCCTACTGCTCACCACATTCTGGGACTGCCCGTGGGTAAGAAAAGGCTCATTTTGCTGGGATCCCAAAAGGGTAATTCCCCTCTGACTCTTCTGAAACATGCGGCTTCCCTGTTTCCACCACACCCAGTTCTCCTTTGCCTACTTGGCTCCCTGGTGCCTTTGGGCCCCTGCAGGGTGTGGTTTCATTGCCCCTAGCCATTTTAAGCATTCAACAGTCTTTTAGTCTTCCTGCATGACTTATTCTTGCTCCTACCATTCCCTTGGACAAGGAGGCACTGATTTATTCTCAATGTCCAGACCCTCAATTCACCCACTGCTGCTAAATTGCTAGAAGTAGTTGGTAAGTTTCTCCAGTGAGATGCTTATGAGGAATCCAAGTGGGGCTCAGAGGTGTTGAACACTCCCTGCCTGGTAGTTTTTTGGTACCACAGTAGGAAACAAGACATTCTTGTTCTCTAAAACAGCTCTGGGTATCCCAAAAGTTAAAAATAATGTGGCACATACACAAACCACCCTTATGTAGTTCCCTGCACGGTCCCTAGGGAAACATGTCTACCTCTCTGCCCGAATTGATGGCAACCTGGTCATCAGGCCATACACTCCTATCACCAGTGATGAGGATCGAGGCTACGTGGATCTTGTCATCAAGGTAAGGGAATAGAAAAGAACTCGAGAAGCTCCTTGTCCCACTCTTTATATGATTTATAAAGACTTCCAAGATTTGTATGATTACAAGGGGTGGCGTATCTTTTTGTCGATATGAACAAAGTATGTAGCCTGGAGAAAGACAGCATGTGGGTGGTCCTTACTTCAGCCTCAGTATAGAGGGGACTCAGACACCAGTAGCATTCCAAATAAGGTATTTTCCATTCTGTCATAACAGGTCTACCTGAAGGGCGTACACCCCAAATTTCCTGAGGGAGGGAAGATGTCTCAGTATCTGGATAGCCTGAGGATTGGGGATGTGGTGGAATTTCGGGGGCCAAGTGGCTTGCTCACTTATGCTGGGAAAGGTAATGATCTCTCTTCTTCGTGAGCCCATCTCCCATTTTTCCAGTAGTACTCCTTGGAGGCAAAGATGACAAAGGGCATGTTTTTAGGAAAGGCTATTCCTTGGGAAGGGATATCTTACTTGGGAAGGTACTGTGTCAGTCAAAGAGAGAAACACTCTCAACTAGATGGATTGACATGGTGACTGCAGCAATAGGCTCAAGTACGTCAGAAATTATTAGGATGGAACAAGTTAGGGCAGGATTCAGGTCTGTTGTTCATAAGACCGCTATGAATCATACTTTACTAGACAATGCCTAACAATATCAACAATCTTGGAGAATCGTGTGACTGTGAGCATGTGTACTTGAGTATTAAGCCTAAAGCAATCCTTCTTTCTGACCAAAGAACTGGTACTGTAGAAAGAAGTGTTGCTCAGCCCCGTTTGCCACAGGGAGCAGTTCCCTGTCCACTTGAATTCACCAGCTCTGACAACTGTGGAGATTACTAAAGCAAACTTCCCTGCCCGCTCCAGGACACCTCAGGCTGAGCGTGAAGCAAGCCAGAGATGGCTTCCAGCCCTTCCCATGGGAGCAGCTGGGTGCATTAGCATGCCTCTGGAGCTTCTTTATGCCACTTGGGAAAATAGATTTGCACCTGGCTCTGTGCCTGTTGTCCTCACTAGGGAGTGATCCTCAGGCAGAAGTAGCTGATGATTCACCCTATTGCTCTGAGCGGGGACAGATAGCTCTGGTTCCATTGTCTCTCATGTATACTACTATCTGTCAGGGCTGGCTCAACTCCTACCTCCACCCAAGTTCCTGAATCAGATTTAATAGCAGCTGCTAAGCTGGATTTAGACATCATTTCAGTTCTGTATTTCTTTGACTTCCCTATATTGACTTTGTTCTTTCTCTCTTTTCTTCACTTTTCTCCTCAGGGAATTTTCACATTCATCTCAATAAGAAATCTCCAGCAGAGCTCCGGGTGGCAAGCAAACTGGGGATGATTGCCGGTGGGACAGGTGTATGTCACTTGAGGGGCCATTCTCTCCCACTGCTGTTGATAGTTACCAGGAAAACTTCCAAGTAACCTTCAGAAAGTTTGGCAATCACAGCCAAGCTGTTAATCAGGGGATTCTTCCCAGCAAAGCCTAATCCTCCCCCCAATCTGAAATTAAAAATTATAATCAGGTAAAAGGGGGGGATTAACTTATAGGATGAACGAAGTTAATCAATTGAGCTCTCCCAAGATAATAGCTTGCATGAATCTAAAAACTTTCAAGTGAGAGTAGACAGAAGTGACTGGAAATGATTAGTCAAGAAGAACGAAAATTAACTTTGATCATTACTATATATCAAGTACTGTGCTAGTCAGTTTATATCTAGCTCTAGAAAGCAAGTATTTACCTTCCTATTTTACAGATGAGACAATGGAGGTTCAGAGAGTTTACATGGTTTCCATGGGTTATTTAACACTGGGGTCTGTGTGATGCCAAAGCATGTACAATTAACCACTGCAAGTTCAGTGCCCCAGAACACTCCTCATTCATTCAGAAGGCATGTGCAGTCATCTGTCCCAGCCTCCAAGGGATTGATAAAAGAAGAGTCTTTGGTTCCTTAGAAAGATTTCAGCAAAACTGACTTCAAAATTCCATAGAACCTATCACCTATGATTTTTAGTGAGTTTGGGATAAATGGCTTATCTGTCCAGAAATGTAGGTGCTAGAAAACACCCTGGAAGAGGCCACAGGATGGAACAGTAGTGAGATTACAGAATTAAGATGAAAGAGTTGGTCAGCTAAGGAGTTGGGACAGCGGAGAGTGTGACCACCACATCTTACAGAGGGGTTATCTTCATGCAGGGATCACTCCAATGCTCCAACTGATCCGAGCCATCCTGAAAGATCCTGAAGATCCAACCAAGTGCTTTCTGCTTTTTGCCAACCAGGTTGGTTTGCTTCTCTTAGTCCTGGGACTTCAGAGTAGCTGGATGGGTAGAGGTGCGATGTACCAGTGGGCAGACCTGGTGCAGTGTGTTCTGTCTTCTTCCCAAGCCTCCTGTATAAGATATAGGACCCTCTAGTATAAAAAAGAAGAAAGAGCACTGGGCCGGATTTCTTTTCTGGACCCCAGTGAAAGGAGAACATTTAAGGAGTCTAGTTCTGAGCATAGAAACTTATGTCTCCTTGGTTAAAGTATTGTTCTGTGCAATTGGACCAATTCTGACTCATATAATGACTCATATAAGTGACAGAGTGAACTGCCCTGTTGGGAAGACCCTCAGTGAGATGGATTGGCAACAGTAGGCTCAGACAGAGCCACGGTTAGAAGTATGATGCAGGATGAGGCAATGTTTCATTGTGATACATGTAAGATCACTGTGGGTTGGAATTGACTCAGTACCCAACAATAACACTCTTTTCAGGAACATGTCAATAGGTGTTTTCTTCTGTAAAGCAGCTTGTAGGTTTGAACCACCAACCTTTTAGTTAATGACTAGCCGCTTAACCAGTGCTTTACCAAGTCTCATTTCTTAGGTAAATATGCCATCCTTACTTCATACACTGTAGATAATATTTGTTCCCCTCATCCTGACTTCCCTGCTAAAAGCACAATTAGGTTTTTCTTATTTAGTGTTCCTTTGAGATTCTTCTATCCTGGCTGGAAAGTTTTTACAGAAGAAAATTCCTTTTAAAAAAAATTTATTATTTTGTGTGTGTGTACCATCAAATCGGATCTGACTGGTACAGGAGGAGATTGCCGCCTTTCTCCAGCAGAGGATCTGGTGGATTCGTACCTCATACCTCTGAAATTGCAATACAGCTTCTTGCCACTAGGCCACCAGAGCTCCCTATACAGAAAATTAAAAGAAAAAAAAGTGGGCTCACAATGGTTTCCAAAGACTTTCCCTTTTCATTTCAGACTGAAAAGGACATAATATTGCGGGAAGACCTAGAGGAACTACAGGTGCAATATCCCAATCGTTTTAAGCTTTGGTTCACTCTGGATCAGCCCCCAAAAGGTACCTCCCCCATTTTTTAACGTTTCAGTCTCCCCTCATCATCAATATCAAGACCTTGCACCTCTATGCAATTTTTGGTTTTACACCAACCCCAGCTGACTCTGCCAATCTCTCATGACTTCCTGCGCACAAACAATAGTCTCCTGGGTCATTTCCTTCCAGTTCCTGTCCTGTTTATCCGGTGGGTGGCAGGAATGACTGTACTGCTGAGGCTGGGCCCGAGGCAGGCTAGTGTACATACCTCTCCTGTGAGGCAGTCTGAGTATACTCCACCGCTGTTGATACAGATGGAGTATACCCTTCCTGTGCTGAATTAGGCTGTGGAAGCAGGCTGAGTATACACCGCTTTGTTGAATTTCAGCTTAAGGCTGAGGCAGGTTTTGTATCCTCATCCAGCTGCTGCTATGACTTAATACCTCCTCAGGAGCCTTTCTGGGTCCTACTCCATGACTCATCCCCATGGCACCCTGCTCTCTTGCCACCATTGATTTGGAGTGCCAGTTCTCTCCTCTCCTCTGTACTTTAGATTGGGCCTACAGCAAGGGCTTTGTGACGGCCAACATGATCCGGGAACACCTGCCTGCCCCAGAGGATGATGTGCTGATGCTGCTCTGTGGGCCACCTCCAATGGTGCAACTGGCCTGCCAACCCAACCTGGACAAACTGGGCTACTCACAAAAGATGCAGTTTATTTACTGAGCATCCCCCAGTTCCCTGGGCCCATTCCTTGTAACTGTCTCCATCATATTTAAATTCTCTAAGCCCTAGGTTCCTTTTCTGATCGGGTTAGGTTTTTTGTGTCTTACTCGGGAGCTGAAATCTGGGTAGTAACTGAAGGAGAAATATCCCTGAAGCCCATAGAAGAACAAGGTGGAGTTGTTTCCTCAAAGGCACCCCCAAATCTACCTGTGATAAAAGTTTCAGGTCAGGCCCATGAAGCAGCGCCTTCCACAGGGTCATAAAGAAGGGAACATGTACAGTTGTTCTAAGACTGGTGAGTTCTTTGATCACTTCACGATCTTACTTTCTTTGTCCATAATGGAAGGTTCAGTCTGTACGATGACTTCCACTTCATGTTCTGTGCTTAGCTCACAGGCAAGTTCTTCACGTGTAAATGTAAGTTGAGCTGACTGCAAAGGTAAATAGGAAATGGTTCCTTCAGCTCCCCAATCCTAAGAGAAGGGAGGTTGAGAGATATGTATTTGTATGCATCTCCCTCTCTGCCCCTGCCCAGGATAGAGGAAACTGGTCAGCCCCAAAGTCTTAGACTGTTGTTTGTGACAGGAACCTCTGGCTCTGCAAATAAATGGGGCTGAGGGCCCATGGGCTACATAAAGGTGGTTGTGTCTGAAGTCCTTGTTTCCAAGGCCTTGTGTGTCTCAGAACCTCAGAAGGAAGGGTTTCCCAGCACAGCATTTCTCCTAGGTCTTCCAAAGAGCCCTGGAATAGTTGTTCCATGTGCTGAAATGTGAGCTGCCACCAAGATCTGTCACCATCTCAGCAGAGCCAGAAGCTTAACCTCTGCATGGGGGCTTTGGAGATGGGGGAGGAGAACCTACATCAAGGAAATGCTTTCTGAACCCAGCTGCCCCTCACAGTGGTCCTTCCTCCTTCTCTTGGCCCTTCCTTCACTAAATTTATGATTCCTCAGAATACCTGCCAAAGAACTCAAAAGTATTCTCTTTCTATTTGGAAGAGGAACTTTCTCCTTTAAAAAGTAACCTGATCTTACCAGTCCCAGCCAGACTTTCCCCCCTGGGCCTGTCTGTCCTGAGCAATGTCCTTCTCCTCTGCTGTGACAGCAGGACTCGCTCCAGACTCTTCTCCCAGGGTGGAACTAGCCCCTTCAGATTGCTCACCCATGAGGAGAAAGCAGTGCATCAGACTCAGAGAGAAGGTTGATAATGGTTTCTTTTCCATCAGACTCAGAGAGAAGGTTGATAATGGTTTCTTTTTTAAATTTCAGTTTCAGTCACATCACCTGCCAAAAGAAAGTTTTGTATGACGTGGTTGAGCCCATTCAATGGAGCAGCCCATCAAAGACTCTCCCATGTGTAACCACACCATGACATGACTTCCACAAGTTGCTGTCTCATCCACGCAACATATAAACATTTATTAAGGAGTTGTTCGAGCCAAGCATTATGCTAGCCCTAAGATGGTTATGACCAAGACTAGTCTGAGCCCTCAGCAAAAAGTTTACTGTTTGAGTAAGGTAGACTAGTGAATAATTACAACACATGATCAATGGTGTAACGGGAAGCCACGGTATAGATAGGGTCATAGGAAGGGATTAAAAAAAATTTCAGAGAGGAAAGAAGAGAAGAAAGGGAATTAGTAGTTTTGAGTAAGAGTCATGTGCCAAGTTCTGGGCTAATTCAATCTATGCCTTATAATTTAATCTTCTTGATAATCCTGAATTGAGGAGCTTGCATGTGAACCTCGGATTGTCTTGAGTCCAAACCACATATTGTTGTGCCATTGAGCCAACTCCAACTCATGACAATTTTGTGTATGACAGACCAATCCTAAACATTGTGAAACTGCCAAAGATCTCCAGGTAGAGAATTGAGGCAAGGGCAGGTCAACAGATGCTAGACGTGCAAAAGCTGACAGGAATGAAAAGGTTCATATTTAGAGAACTAGAAAAAGTTCACAGAGGCCCAAGATGCCAGAGGGAAGGTGGAGAAAGATGAAACCTGAGAGGGTTAGAGCCAGCTTCTGAAGAGCCTTGCTAATGAAGCTTGAACTGAATTCTGTGCGAAATGGGAAATTTCTGAGGGAAGACCCTCAGCCAGGTTGACTGACACTGACTGCAGCAATGGGCCCAAGTGTGTCAGAGATTGTGAGGATGGCACAAGGCAGGACAGGATTCATAGTGTTCATAGCGTTGCTGTGGGGCGTACTCAACTTGATGGCACATAACAACAAGACGAAGCTAACATTTATGAAGCATTTACCATTTATAGGGCACAGTATTAAGAACTTAAATTATTTCATTTAATTCTGGCAAAGGATTAAAATAGCACTGAGTCCCATTTCTCAGATGAAGTAATTATCCTTTGGAAGGGTCATGTACTTACTCAAGAACAGAGCCTGGCCAAGGGCACAAATTTAGGTCTGTGTGACTCTGGAGCCCATTCTTTTAATTAGCACTAAAAAGAATAATTGATGCCATTGTGAAGAGTACTGAATATTCCAAGGGCTGATAAAAGAACAAACAGGTATGTCTTGCAAAAAGTAAGGCCAGAATATTTTTTGGGTGCAAAGATGGTGAAGCCTCATCTCACATACTGTAGTCATGTTGCTTGGAGCAGCTATTCCTTAGAGTGGGACCTCATACTTGGAAAGATAGAGGGTCAGCAAAACAAAGGAAGACCCTCAATGAAATGGATTGACACAGTGACCGCAGCAAAGGGCTCAAGTATGCCAGAGATGATGAAGATGGCACAATATCAGGTGGTGTTTACATCTGTTGTTCATAGGGTCTCTATGAGTCATACTGGACTCAGCAGCACCTAACAACATTAAGAATGATAAGGGAGTGTTATGGCCTAGTGATAAAAAGTTGTGCTGCCAACCTTGAATCTACCAACTTCTCCGTGAGAGAAAAACAGGCATTTTCTTCCCATGAGATTTCCAGCCTCTGAATATCTGCTGCAGAGGGTCAGCTATGTTTGAGTTTGAAGCTCTGGTGACCTAGACCGTAGGGCAATTAACACTGCTCAACTCAAATGTGGAACCTGTATACTGTTTTTAATACATCCAGCAGCCGCTTTGTAGTAGAAAGAGATGGCAGTCTCCTCTCATACAATTTATATCTTATAAAAACCTGCTGGAGGGTCAGCTGTGAGTCCTTTCCAACTCGACGGAATGTGAGTTTTGAGTTTTTAATGGTTTTTAAAAGAGAATCATGCCTTACTTATTGTCCCAAGGCAAGGAGTCTTGGTTAAAGTAAAATTGCTAAATAGTCTGAGGCACCCATCCACCTGTCACACTATGAGAGAAAAGTGTGGTGGCAGGGAGCTGCTGCAAAGGTGGCAGCTTGGAACCCTGAGGAGCAGTTCTCTGTTCTGTAGGGTCATGGAGTCAGAACACATTTGATAGTGATGTGGTGTCTGTGCTATTGGTTGGTTTTTGTTGTTGTTTAAGTACATCCATTGTAAATAATGGATAACCTTTCACATCTAGAATGACACGGGTTATATATCATACTCCGGAGAGGTAAGAAACTTGTTGGTCCTTAAAGTAATTTTCTGTGTACTGTGGCTTAGTTGAGGGCCACATCACCCTCATCTAGCTCTCATTGTCACCTGCTGTGGTACCACCCCTCTGGCTGCAATATCAGAGTAAGAACTGAAGCAGAGAGTTGTTGCAGTAGATCAAGTTAAATTCCTGTCAGAGGAAATCCCTCTGAGAATTTATAAAAAATTATTACATAATTTGTGATAAATTACAGGTGCCAGTGCTAGACTCTAGTCTGCTACTTGTCACATATTCTCAAAATTACTGTCCTCAAGTCAGAACCAACTCATAGCCGACCTGCTGACCCTTCAGCAGGTTGTCTGAGGTGGTAAATGGCCCAGGAGGAGATTGCCCATTTTTCTCCAGCAGAGGTGCTAAAGGATTCAAAACTCCAGAGAGGCATGGCCTTTGAGTTGGCAGCATAACTTCCATAGCCACGTGCCAGCAGGTCTGTCTGTCACATTGTGTTGTAATGTGCCATCGAGTGGAGTACAGGAACAACAGATCTGAAACTTGTCCTGTCATCCTGCACTATTCTCATCATCTCTGACATACTTCAGCTCATTGCTGTAGTCACTGTTATCAATCTGTCACCTTGAGGATCTTCCTTTCACAGACCAGCGTGATGTCAGTTTCCAAGGAGTACCCTCTTCTAGCAACCCGCTCAAAGTATGTGAGATGAAGCTCTGCTATCCTTGCCTCTAAGGGGCACTCTGGCTGCACCTCCTCCAAGACATACCAGTTTGTTCTTTTGGCAGTCCATACTCTTCTCCAGCACCACAGTTCAAAGTACTCTTTCTTCAACACCACAGTTCAAAGGCATCCGTTTTTCTTCTGTCCTCTTCATTCGTTGTCCAGCTCTCAGACACATAGCAAGTGATTGATAAGACCATTTTCAGCGAGCTCTGGTGGCCTAGTGGCAAGAAATTGCACTGTAGTCCCTGAGGTGCGCGGTTCACATCCACCAGATGCTTTGCTGGAGAAGGAGGAACAACTCCTCCTGTACCAGTCAGATCTGATTTGTACACAAATCAGTACACACACACACACACACACAATAATAATTTAAAAAATTTAAAAAAATAAAATTATTGGAAAAAAAGACCATTTTCTGGATCAGACACACCTTAATCTTTACACTGATGACATTGCTCATCAGTACTTTGGAGAGGTTTCTGGTAACAAACTTTCCACTGTGCAGTACATCTTTTGATGCCTTCACTGCTGGTGCCAAATGTATTAATTGTGGATCCAGGAAGATGAAGTTGACAATTTCAGTCCTTTCTTCATTATGATGTTGCCTGTTGTCTCAGATGTCACTTATTGTTATATGCCATCAAGTTGACTATGATGCATAGCAACCCTATGCATAACAGCACTGAACCTTGCTCACTGTCTCTGACACACCTACCCTCTTTAGCCCAGTTATTGTGTTACATCCTAGACCCTCAATT